CCATTCGGATCTCAACAACTTTCAATTGGACCCTGATGACAGACCCCAACATCTCTCACGTTCGGCAGTCATAGTTTGAAGCAGTTGGCACATGCCCAATTCAAGCAAACAAAGGATGGACCAGGGTGGACCAATACAGATGCCGTCATCCAAAGTAGCTTCTGAAGCTAACATGCCTTCAACATTATGTCAAATCAACATGCATGAGCAACATCAAAGTTAGGAGCATCGACGCGCTGCAATGAATGCAAGATTCTTGGTTGATCTTGGAGGTGATCGGAAAAATAAAGGTCGAGACCAAATCCACAGGTTTTTTCGCTGTTTCTTCCAAATTCTTTGTCTCTTCTAAGCAGCTGCAAAAACAGTCCGTGCATGTCCGTGCCAAAACTTTGAGCCCGCTTTTTCCTGTTGGGATCCATGACCAAAGGAGCCAATTGAAGAGCTGGGCGACACTGGCCTTCCAGTCGCCGTCCAGTGAGCGATGACGCTGTCTTTGAGACGAGCGCGCAGATTCGCCGGTAAACGACAGGTCTGGGCCTGCTACGTGGGACGCAGGAGCCGTGGGGGCGCAAAGAGTCGGCCCGAATGCTTGGGAGGTGTCCGCATCCTGTCCCCCACACTGGTTCGACTAATACTGAGCCCTGAAAAATAAAGGGCCTAAGTAGGGGCAGTACCCTCATATGGAGGGGTCCGGACCCTCAAATCATCTCAAATCCCTACGCCTTCCTGATGTACGGGGGGCCACAGCGTGTCAGACCCCTCCTGCGGGGGGAGCAGTCGAGTCAAGTCTATACGGTGGACGCGGGAACCCCCACCCCCCATGCGTTGAGGTAATGCCAGGAGAGACGTGAGGATCGGGGTGCTGGTGCCGAATTATCCATCACTTGATGGGACTAGAAACCACCCAATTCCATCTGATTCCTGGTGTAGAACATGTCTTGTCGCAGCTTTCTGCCTCAACCCAACACCTTGCCAGCTGTTGTGGTGCCACTTGGAGGCACTTGGAGTGCTTTTCACGGCAAGAAGGAATAAACATAGAATATCAGGTGTCCTCGTCTTGCGACTGACTCCCCACGGCTCATGCATCAACCTCTTATCACATGGCCTGCCTCGAGACTACATGATGCAAAACGACGCAAAATATCAACATGGCAGTGAAAAGAGTTCTACGTATGCAGTGGCAAGAGCAAACATAGTGACGGACTTCTTCGCACCATCGAAAGTGAGTCCTTTACCACTGGAGTACTTGCCACTGGAGTAGTGTCAAAGTCCCAAGCTCTGTGAGGTCGAACTAAAGGGCTCCTTCTTCCAACAGTAACAGCCAACCACTTCGATTTCAGTTTCACGTAATTTGTCAATCATGCTCTCTCCCATTGTTGGATTGAATCCAACAAACTGCTCCAAACAATATTAGCCATGCTTGATTTGTCAACCACGGGTGCCGGGTCTTTGACCAACTTCTTCGCGTGCACATAATTTCTTCTAGCCCATTCTCAGGTTCACGATCTCCAAGGCCAGTCCTTGGAAGTCTCTGAGTACCTCGCCACGAACAAGGAGACGGTCGGAAGGTGGACATTGATGTGAAAGAACCGGTGGGAGGCGGTGGTGGATGCAAGGCCAGTGCATTTAACTTGGGAGACAAGTGACTTAGGTTCAGCTGTTCCTGAAATCATGGTCCATCCAATCTGTAGACACGGAAACCAGGGCCATCTTATCGACTCTGTTTCAAGGCTTTTGCCCATCGGCATGTTCTAGAGATGTCTCTCCCCAACACCATGAAGCAAGCCCCCCCCCAACAAAAACCATCAGCGATGCAACGGATTCATAATCCGATGTTCTTCCGGTTCGGACACCCGTTCCGTCCAAGCCCAACCAGTCCTCTAATCCGTTCCGCTTTCCGCTGTTTCGCTGTGGCGCCCACGGCCCCGACCCGTTGGTGTCGCCTCGACCAAGGCCTTGGAGAAGCTGGTCGAGCGATATTGGATCCCATGGCGCTGGCAGATCTCCTGGACCAACGGCTTCACCTGGGAGCGAGGTGGATCGGCGCGGAAGAACCACCCCAAGCCAGCTGGGCGACAGCGAGTGCGGCATGAAGCGCTGGCGCGAGCGTGTGCGGGCGCATGTGCGGCCCATTTTTTGGGGGTTGGGCCGAAGAGGAGTTTGGGTGCCGTGCGTGACTATGCGACCAAAAGTGCATGAGGGCTTGACTTGAATGAATGGATGTGAATGGATGTGAATGGGTCCAGCATCATACCTTCCTATGTCGGGACCCAGCTCTTTTGCCTGTTGGATGAGAAGATGTTGGCAGGTTGAAGGGATCTTGTAGCGAATGCTGCAAAATTCCATGCCTTTATTGAACGAAGACTCCCTACCGCTGGCTGCAAACTGGACGACACTGGGCTTCGCCCTACCAGTACCAGCAAGTGAATTAACACACACTTTACAATATAAATCTACTCACCATGTTCTTACCTACTACCTGCATCGACCTGCCTTGACCACACCTCTGACTCTCTGACAGTCAGTCGAAGGGTGCATTTTCAGGTCTCCAGCCCAGTGAATGATGCTGGTGAGTAGGGGGGTGAACCATTGGATTCTGGATTTTGTCGGTTTCATGGCATTTGCCATGATTAATCCAATGTCTGCACCACGGGATACCAGGCGAACACCACATCGTCACACATATCGTTGCCGGCGAACCACGTGTTGCTGTGCAACCGCCGCTGAGTTTGCCAAATGGAACAACACCCTTACCTTCACTGCAGACGATCAAGACCGTACCCTGACCACACCTGGACCACCCGCGCAGGACTCGTTTTCTTCTGCGCCCGGGACTCCGACCCCGGGAGCAACGACCCCCGGGCACGACCCGCCTTCTGGAGGTTGTGCCGCGGAAGCTGCGGAAACAGATGGTGTTCGATCTGAAACCTCGGTTTCGGCGAAGAGTTTGAAGAGTTTGGTTCGCGTCATGGGTGCGGCGGCTAGCGTTTGGGCTTGACTCTCTTGCTATCTCTTGCTTGTGGTTGCAGACATGGAGACATGTGGACGGGGAAATGGTACCCGTTTTTTTGGATGACCTCCTCATACCCAAACTGGTGGTTTTCACTCCGCTTCCGGAGCGTTGGGCCCCCAAAAGGATGACCATGAAATCGATCAACCAGCCATCGATCAGCCAGCCTCGGTACCAGCCTTAGCCGCCTTAGCCAGCTATACGGCCTTGAAACAGCCAAAGAACCCGATCCAGATCGATGCCTTTTGTGGCATCACCCCGATCTAAATCCTGCTTTCAAAAATCAACCACCGATCCAGGTCATAGTTCGTGGCCACAAAGGACCACGTGGTCCTTCAACCTGAGGCATGCACTAGAAGTACGCACCAAGTTAGTCACCGTGCTCAGTGGTGATCCGTTTGGACCCCATTGAAACCGGCTTCGCTTTGCTCTCTGGGCCCTCCGACTCCAAACCACCGTGGAACCAGTGGTCGTACCTCGCGCGCTCTACAGCGGCATCCGAAGGTCCTGGTTCTCCCCACCGGTGGGATTCATCAAGTACACCAGGCTGAGCCACGAATGTTTTGCCTAGAAGCTAAGATAACAAGGCTTATGCTAATCCTTTGCGTCATAACAAGGATTGCCAGGATTGCCTTATATAACCAGGCTGTGCCTCCAGGATGCCTAGAATCTTATGCTAATCCTTTGCCACCATGTTCTTTTTTTGGAAGGCATCCTGGAGGCACACCCAGCAGAAATCTGCAGAAATTCACACACCTCTGGGGCGTCGTGGTGCCATCGAATGGTAAGTCAAGATTGAACTTAATACTATACACTCCCTGGAACTAACATGGAAGTGGAGAATGGCCCCTTGGGAAGACCATTTTCCACTACAAACAGGTGGTTTTCCACTTCCATGTTAGTTCCAGGGAGAGTAAATCCCACTACTAATTCCACCCTGTTGAACCGTGGTGAATAAAGACTAGACCGATTGAAAACTGAACACTGTCATCCCAGGCACCACCGTCTATACCGTGGCAAACACGAAACTCTCCTTGTCCAACTTGACTAAATAGATCGGAATAGCGAGATTTGTCTACCAGTTTACCAGTACCTTCGGTCTTTTATCCCATGTTCTCAATTTCTTCTCCTGGCACTTGAAAGAGTTCATTGCGAGAAACTGTTGGCGGCAAACATTCATCGATGAAACGACCAAGGATTTTGCTGTGAGACTTCCCAACCGACGAAGCCGACAACGCGTTCGCAACGTCTCCAACTTCCAAGGACGTCGCAACGTGTCAAATTGTGATGCAAAGTCTGAGACTCAGCTGAAAAGTACACGTCAGATCACGTGTCTTTTTTCACCAGCCAATGCGCTCAACACATCTTAAAACACCATGTGACCCTACAACCATGCGCGTTCTGCGTGTTCTAACTGACTGTCTCTACGCGTTCACTGCAGCCAGGCGGCCAGTCGCAATCAATGTTACGAGACGTTTTGAGCTGAAATGTGAAAAATTGCTCTTCTCGTTCCTGCCCGCAGCGATCTGCGATCTGCGCATCGCTGGCCGCAAAAATGACCGTCGGTCGAACGAAAAGAATACGTAGACCTGATATCAGCCCGCCGTTCTTGTATAGCTTAGCTGTCTGTTGACATGAATTGACTATATATAACATTAAACGCATTGAACAGCGGTGACCCAATGTTTGGAGAAAAACACAACGTATACCAAACATGTGCAAAGCACGCAAATCACACGTGAGGCCACTATAGAATCTACTCATCTTCGTCTGGGCCAACTATCAATATCCGATAAGCGCTCCCTCTTTGCTCCACCCTTCTAGGCGACCTTTAAACCTTAAATAACCTGATGCTTGGACTCTAGGCTTAGAAGGGTCAAGCCTACGTAGAATGACATTGGATTCAAGGCTTGGATTCGAGGTTGAACCTCATTCTAGGCTTAACCTGAAAGAAGGGCACGAGGTTCAACCGTTTAACTTTATGTAACCTTCACCACTCCTGCACCGCCGCGATTGGCGGAAGATGCGCCGCGATGAGTTCATCGCGTCGTCGGAGCGCCATACGCCGTACGGTGTGTGCCTCCTCTGCTGTGAAGGTCTCTGTGGCAAGGTGGCTCAGGACCAGTTGGATGTGCAGGATGCCAACCTGAACTGCCAAGCTCTTGAGCTATCTTGAGCTGCGAAAATCGCAGCTGCGCTCATATGAGCAGCGGACAAAATTACTTGTGTAGCCAAATACCATTTGGCATGATTATCGTTTTTGGTGGGGCCCATATCGTTCTCCAATGTTTCTCCAAACCGTAGTTAGCATAGCATACCGGCACATAGACTAAAACACAAAATCCACTCACAACCTCAGATTAAGGCTTACAGTGCTTTCTGCACAGGAACGATACAGCACTTGATTTATGTACTGTACTTGGGTTCTTGTGGCACTGGGCTGTGCAAGGATCACAACACATAAGCGGGGACCTAGTAGCTCGGCCCATGAACAAACACTAGTAATGTGGAGAAGTAGGTTTACGGAGTGCCTGGCGTGACATTTAGGTTATCGTTCGCTTATCGTTTGGATTATCGTTCGGGAAGTTGTCTGGGATTATCATTGATGAAAAGTTGCGCCCATCGGTTTAGCTCACGTAAACATGTATATAAATGCAATATCATATTGTAACCACAAACGTCTTTGTACCCACTACATATTAACAAGGTTATCGTTTTTGGTGGAGACCATATCGTTTTCCACAGAAACAAAGCCCTCAACATAGGTTTAGGGTCATGCCATGACTAAATAAGTCAACCAATAATTTTGTCCGTCGCTCATATAGGCAGCTGGAGTGCCCAGGTTTGTGGGGTTTCTGGCAGGGCACATGTGTCACATTGTTTCACCATGTTTCACCATTTAGAAGAGGCCACCTGTACCAGACCAGGGATGCACTTTTTGTCAAGGGCGAGTCATGGTGAGTCAAGGTGGAAATCAAAGTTAAGGTGTTGTTTCAATTTCTCCCCCCATGCAGCACGTTCTCGAGAACTCTTCGGACATCTGCTGCAGGATCTCTATGTCCATGTCGACTGCTTCGAGTTCTTTCCACATGAATCGCAACTTGCTCTACTCCATGTGTGTGTATTCAGCTGCCTCAGTTCAGTCAGTTCAGGTCAGATCAACTCAATTCAGCTCAAATCAGTCAGCCAGTTCAGGTCAGCTCAGATCAATTCAATTCAGCTCGGTTGAGGTCAGTTCCAGTCAGTTCAGATCAGTTCAGTTAGCTAGTTTAGTTACTGTAAGTCTAGCTTCAGGTCCGCTCAGTTCAATCAAACACTCACAAACCACCGTGTCGGCCCCAAACACCTCGGGCCCCCAACGGTCCCACGGTCGACGAACGACGCAGCTGCTGTCGAGTTGCCGTCCAGTTGGAGACCAACACGAAGGCCACGCGCTCCCAGGACGCATCCAGCTGCTTCACGAGCGTCGCCTCGGGAGAAGCAGGAGGAGGAGTGGTGTTGGACCAGGGGAGGACCGGGGTGAAGCACTCAGATCGTGAAGGGTGGTGAAGGGTGCTCCGAGGTTTTTCTCCTCCGGTCCTTCTCAGGTGCTCCGGTCCTTCGAGGTCTCAGAAGGTGAGAACCTCCTGGGCGCCGGTCCCCCAGCTTTTTGGGGAGTCAATCCAAAAGGGGCAAACAAATCCTGAGAGGAGGACATCTGAGGAACTCATCAGATCCTGACATATCCTGACCAAACACTGACAAAATCCAACCCCTTGGGCCCTTGGATGTCCATGTTCATTGACCTCGGTCCATGGTTCCTATTCTCCGATCTGGTCCATTTTCGGATGTTCGGATGGTGAACTTGTCTCACATGGTAACTGATTGTGAGGAACGTTCCCCCGATGGATGCCCTGAACCACACACCCTGGAAACACCATGGACATACTGTCGATCTGGTGCAGCCGTGGCACGTACCATATCCAGAACCTGCGGGAGAAGGCGAGCTAGCCGGTTGGGCAGCTGGCTGTGAGGAAACAAAGGTTCCGGAGCAAACTCCATGAAAGCTAGCTGGTCCCTGATTCAACATCAAGTCCATTGAACAACCACCACTATCTCCAACTTAGATATACTGTGATAATCTGTGATATACTGTAGATATCTATAGATCACGAAGCTGATGGGTGTGATTTGCTCCAACTTATATGTGAACCCAGTTGCTCCTGCTGTCCACCATGGTGTTTTTAAGAGCGTTTTTCACCCAGCAACCACGGTTTTACTGAGGATTTTCCACAACACCAAAGGTCTAGCTTTCTTTTCATGGTCGAACGGAAGGCTAGCGGCTAGAAACGCCCAAACGATTTTTACTGCGCTGCCAATAGGAACGCTAGGCCCCTCGGTGAAAGCCCCACTGCTGGAGGTCCACTCATGAAGTCAACTCCCCAAAAGCACCAGCGAACGGGACCATGCCAATTGGGCGACCAGCATGGATTAACTGATTGACTCTATTAGGCGCGACGCGCAAGCAGGATAGCTGGATATGGCTGGAACCAAACCCGTCCCCCTCCGCGCACTCTCGTTGACGTCAAGGAGCAACACCATTCCAGTGACGTCCATCAAGCCACCGTAGGCTTCTCGAAATCTCTTGGCCGTCAGTAGTCGCTTCAGGGCAGCGAGCATCGAGATAATGTAGAAATTGAAGCGTCCCATCACCTCAAGTTCTTGATCTATACAGAGGACTATTCCAGCCCAACAAGTTCGCCTATCCCATATTTATTTACCACTTGTTTAGTCCCGGTGAACTGGGTCTCTCAACCTCTCTTCGATTCCGCATGTTGTGACGTGACCGCACAAAAATCGGCCATGGCGAGATCATGTCCGCAATGTCCGCAATGTCCGCTACCCCACCAAACCACGAGAGGTTGACATTCCTAGATACCTTCTCAGGAGGTACTTGGGCCCTCCAAGCCTACATAAATAGTCTCCAATCACCTTCTGAGAAGGTACGACTGGATCCCTAGCGATCCCTCATCAAGGGATCTGGTCAGAAATGAATAGAAATGATACTCTCTCACGAAGTGAAACGAAGTGCCGACACCGACCGAAGATGAAGTGTGGACTCTCCCAGGAAAACGAACATGGAAAACGGAAACTTCCATGAGACAATTTCAGAGAGTGTCATCGGTTGTGAGGCACACATTTTGCTGGCACTCCCTCTCTATAACGCAGATCCCACTCACGCTGGATGAAACATTCACGCCCCATGCACGCTTAGCAGCGAAGAGGCAAACATGTTGGAGTGAACCCCAGGAGTTTGTTGGCCATTGGATTCTACACTCTGCCAAGTTCTCTACATCCTGGCCACGAAAATGGATAGACCAATAGATAATGAAGCCTCTAGCAAGAACAATGTGTTGGATGCCTCTTTGGACTCATCAGTATCATTCTCTATTAATTGGAGAACCATCCAAAACAAAAACCTATCCCCTCCATATCCCTCTCTTCTTTCGTTGCCAAACATGTTCATATCGCTGTTTAAGTCCAATCCCCTTCAACGAACCATGCGAGCCAAACCATGCTTCGCATGCATGCTCGGCCTCTCGTCTTGATCTAAAACGGACCAGGTGCCACTGAAAGCGGCAAGAAGGTGTAGTGCTGAACCTTCGGCAGCTGAAGTCCACCCCGGCGGATCGTGAAACGGACGACGTGTTGGACTCCCCCGACTCGGTCTCAGTGGATGGGTGAGTACAGCTTGGGACTCGACATCACGGGAAGAACGACCGTTCACACCATGTTCACGTTCCCCAAAAAAGGGGAGAAAAAGCAACACGTTCATATACGTTCTGTCTCTTGTCACAAAAAGCGGTGGTCGCGAAAGGCGGTTTATCCCACTCAGCTCTCCATCTCTCCTTCACTTCTTCTCACCTCCGTTCTCCATGTCACCTCCCTTCTTCCGTGCCAGGGGGCCGAGACCAAGGTTCGTGTCAGGAAGTCGACTTTCGTGCCCGGTACGTCCAACTCCTGCCGCACGGCCGGACACGGACGAAGGACCAAGGACCCCCACACCCACCGGAGCTCGGCCCCTTTTTGGGGCTCCGGAGGACGACTCGTTAGGTGAGTCCGCGGGAAGGCCCACAGGAAGGCCCACGGTTGGTATGGAAAGCTGGGCGTTCGGAGTTCCAACGGACCGGGAGATGGAGCTTGGATGGGGTGAAAGGAGGAAAAAAGGAGAGAAAAAGGTAAAGGCTTTGGAGCAAAGATCTTCAAGGGAGTCTCCGTGCTCAAAGCTTTATTCTATATATTCTGACTCCAGAATTCTTTGCTAGAGTGCATGCTTCTCTAAGAACGAGCACACAATTGCACACAGCAGTTCACCTTGTATTTTGCAGAAATCGCGGTTCTGTATTTTACTGTTCTGATCTGTTCTGAAGCAAAGCCGCCCCCTACCAAAGCAACAAAGAACATTGAGCTCCACAATCCTACATTGGTCAGGCTTTACACTCCCAAGTTGTGAGTGTCCAGTGGAGATTCGCAGTGGATGCATACGTGAACAACTCGAACAAAATGGGGATGGCTGAAAGAATGGCAGACTCAAAAGCAGTCTAATGTAGACTCTTGATGAATAAAGACTCTTGATTAATAGAACATAATAAAACCATATAAAAACCCACCTCATATGGGAATTCACATACTTTCTACATGCATCGCCATCGCTCTTTTACATCCTTTCGCCCAGCGTTTTGGCAAGCATTGCACCCTGTATCTGAAGGCCATTCAGCGAGAACCAATGAGGAGTAAGGTCAGAGGTACAGTAGATGCAATATCATTGACGACAAATATGGGATCATATTATAAATTATGGGCATGTATTTTCAATAGGGAGACCCTCCCAAAGACCACCTATAGAAGAAGGACAAGCAATGACAAGTCTGCCCATTGAGTGGGGGGGGTTCCCTAAGATACACATCCCTGCACGACAAGCAAACCTCCAGAAACTAACTACGAGTATCAGTACAAGTACAAACATAAGAATATTGCCCGCCGCGAGTCCCACGTGGCGCCTTCTTGGAGATCAGCCAGATCGGCAAGTAGTTAAACTGTGGGTCTTCCTGGGGTCGTGGGGGGCGGGTGTTGTGCATCCCTGCGTTCTCCAAAGGTCTGGAAGATGAGAGAGCCTTCATCATGGGGCATCCGGTGGCATCCTGTGGCATGATTTTCACCGATCTGCACAGTCTTAACTACACGGTCGTGGTCAGTTCGTGTAGGCGGAGAGTTCGTGCAGGCGTCCTGAGGCCGCAAAGTGATTGCGTGGTGCAATGAATGCTCCTGCAGGCGTGACGAGCAACATCAGCAAATCCTTACAAATTTCAAGAAGATTGATTTTCAAGAAGATATAAGAAGATGAAGCGAATACTGCAGGTATGAGCGGATTCACCAACGATTTGCTCCACATTTGATATATTTGTTGGATGTTCCAACTATTGGAACATTCTTGAGGGTGGATTCCTAAATTAGAGACCATCCGGCAAACATTCAGTCTGCTATCGGCGACACTTCCGGGATTGCCGTTTTGGAACCTGGGTTTACCCTTTGAATTCACTGCCTTTGGACCAGAGCCAGTGAAAATCTAAGGTATCCATGACAGGATTTGCCCTTTGTCCATCGAAAAAGCGACTTTTGATCAATGCTTGTAAACCTCCTGGATACGAAGAAGTTTGGGCTTGGATCGAGCAATCCATATGAACACCTACCTTTTCAGGATGTAAGGATGTTCAACCAAGCATGTTCAAACCTTATTTGAATGGCAGGGACATCACAGGGATCACGTATCTTAATCTCGCATCTGTGGGATGGGTTGAGGATGGTTGAGGTGGGGGACAGGGTGGGGTGGGGTGGCTCTTAATTAACTGACAACCTTCCCTTCGACTAACCCTCTCCTGTAGGATCTTATGGGTGTTTTCAGGGGGAGACCGGGAAGACCCCCGAAAAACCACCATCGAAGAAGGAACATAGACCATACGCGATCCATGGCAAACTCCTGATTTACCCACAGAGATCGGGGTTCCCTGCACTCCTTGATCCCGGCACTCAAGAGTCTCATACATCATCGTCATCGTCATCGTCATCGTCATCATCATCGTCATCATCATCATCGTCATCATCATCATCATCATCATCATCGTCATCATCATCATCATCATCATCATCATCATCATCATCATCATCATCATCATCATCAT